ATATATAATGAGATGTATGTATTTTATGTACTTAACCATGGGTGTGTATGTATGTATTTTATTACATACATTATTCATTATATATCATATATGCATATACATATTTATAGAGAGATTGAGATTTATTATGAAGAATTACTTATTACAAGGAATTTGCTCACATGATTATGAACTCTGAGAAGTCCCAGAATCTGCCATCTGCCAGCTGGAAAACCAGAAGAGCTGCTGGTGTAATTTAGTCCAAGGGCAGAAAATGAGGTGGAATGTCCCAGCTCAAGTAGGCACACAGGAAACAAAAAGAGTGAATTCTTCTTTCTTCTGCCCTTTTTTGTCCTCAGTGCCTCAACAGACTGGATGACATGCACGCACATGGAGAAGGGCAATCTGCTTTACTGAGCTCACAGATTTAAACATTAAGCTCATCCAGAAACACCCATACAGACACACCAGAAATAATGTTTAATCTGGGCACCTCAGGGTGCAAGCAAGTTGACACAGTTAATCATCACAAAAGCAAAGGGCATACTCAAAACTCATGACTTCCTATTACACTGTATTTTAACCTATGCTCTTCTGAGTTTAGTTCTACCACAGCTGTGTGTTGCCAGTCTATCCACCCACACGGGCCATATAGCAACCATACACCTCTACTGCACGTTAAGTGATGTCACACTGGTAGCTTGAAATGGGCTGTGGTGGGAAAATTATATTACAGAAATAAGCAAATGCTATTAATCGTTTATTGATTTGCTTATGTCTATACTTAAGAAAGTGATGGAAAAATTTATACTGCAGATTAAATTTTAAAAAATGAGTTGTTACAGCAATTTTGATGTGAATAGCATAAAACCCTGAGATACTACTCCTTCAGTATTTGAAAACTCTTGTCCAGTTCAACAAAGAAGTTACATCTTTGACAAATAAGTGAAATTCATTGTCATATGTTATATGTATATACATGCAGCCATTTCTCCAAGGCATATCAGTGTAATCAGATTAGGATGGATTCTATTAGCCTAGAAATATGATCATGAATCTGTCTCCATGCTCTTCTCCCTTACTGAGTAAGTCCAGGTATATAATCTGGTCTTTTTCTCTACCTTTTAGTGTTTTGTTTTGTTTTGTTTTACCTAAAAGATCCCTTGTGTCTTTCTGAAATTTGCCTTGATCAGGGCTACTCCAGCCTATCCAACATGGAATTAAAGCTATAAACTTCAAAGGAAAGCAGTCAGGATACTGGTTCTTTTCCACCCTCAAAAAATGTTCTTCCTCAGTTACTTGAGACAATATATAGATATTTGGGCTGCAGAATGAGGAAAAGAGGGCCCTTCCAAATTCTACTTAGTAACATCCAAGCTTCAAAAACTGGAGTATATCATGTGGAAGGGGGGCAACACCTAACTTGAGTGGCTTCAGGCTCTAAGTTTCAAGCCTTAGTTTGGTGAAAAAGACCTATTACATAATTTTCAATTTCTTAATGATTCTTCATTTATCATGGAAAGATATGCATCTTCCGAAAAGGGGCCTAGAGATTTGGTAACAGATACAGTTGTGTATAACTGTCATATCACCAAAAACCAGTTTAAATGAAACTTTTCCCACAGAATTTGTCAGGTGAACTATTCAGAAAACACACACACACACACACACACACACACACAAAAGCATTGCTATAATAAAGATTTAAGTACTCTTTTTGGAAACCTCCAGATGGTTGACATGTTGGTAGACCAAACATCTGAATAGTTCCCTTTTTGATGTTTGGAAATATGCATATAGTCTAAAAGTAAAATGTGATGTGTTTTTATCATCTAGAAATTCTTTTAAAAGCATAATTCTGTTTCCAACCAAAGCAAAATCAAAAGACTACCGTATATCTGCTCAGGGTTATAAGTTTTTCAAAATATTTTTACATCTTTTACCTAGTTTGAGTCTTAATGAAAACATTAAGAGACAGGCATAACAAGTGTTATCTTACTGATTAAAATGATTTTCTGTGGATGGTGATGAGTGAAGAGACTCTGAAGTACAAAGACGGAAGAGTTTAAAGAGAGCTTGAGTACTCAAAATGACACTGCATGACAGATGAGGAAACAAAGACAGAGACAAAACAAAAGACCTTTGTGAGGGAAGTTGTATAATATATATTTTTGGAGAGGAAGAGAGAAACAGGGACTGTGAGCACTTAAAAGGGGAAACTGAAATATTTTCAATTCTTAAGGAGCCCATGTTTGGAAAGAAGAAATATGGCTTAGAAGATAATTTTGTAGGGTCAGTTTTAAGAGAGTCAAAACCAAATGAGAGATGCCTTGAATAAACATGCTGTTGACATACTGGAATAGATCCTGGAAACGTGCAGAACAAACATTGTGTTTTAAGGGAGGTATTTGCAAGTGGGCATTCTGGAATTTTGTACTAGAAAATGTCTCTGGATTGGACTTTCTTATGAGAGGTTTCTTTAGAACAAGAGTTTGAGGAAAGAGTAGAAGGCTGTCCATAGGCCTAACACCTTAACACCTAGCACTTACCTTAATATGTATCATATAGCTTGGTATCAACTAGACACAAAAACAGAGAGAGAGAGAGAGAGAGACAGAGAGAAACAGAGATGAAAGGGAAGGAAAGGGAGAAAGAAAAGAAGAGAAAAGGAGGGGGGCAGTGAGGGAGAAAAAGTCATGAGAGAATGGGAAAGAGAGTTCACACAATGTCTGAGGAAAAGTTATGGTTCAAAAAGAAAAACTGTTTAAAAGGGCATTTACAAGTCCTTCAAATTCTGAAGCGATGTACAGAAAAAATATAAGAAACATGATTTTGACCTCTACTGAGAGTGGGGTAGAATTCTCAAAGAAATAGTGTTAAAGGTTCAATCATTCCTGAGAAGTGAGAAAGAACTAGAAATAAAGGAGGTAGAAAGAGACAGATAATGAGCAGTAGGGGAGAGAACACTGAGGAACCCTGACGGAACATTGTCACCATCAACTCTGGACACAAGAGTATGACAAGAGGCCAGGTTTTCTCTTCTCCAGAGGTTTTTCTGCAGAATACCATATTTGGGGTCCATTAATGCCTCAGCATCCAACTCTCCCTCACATATCACAGCAAGTAAAAACAAACAAACAAAAAGCCAACCTTGGGTAATGGCCAAGTGAGTGGGGTATGCTCTACCTCATCTCTTATGGCATTCTTCAAAGAAGGTCTCAATTTTCCTGTCATGTTCTACCCAAGGGA